AACTCGGGACTAGGTGCGTTCCTCTAAGCCTTCATACCAATATGACCAAGTGGCGAAAACAAGATCAAACTACTTCAATAGCAATACAAGTCCAGAAGTTAAATGGAGAATAAGGCGACGATGCAAGGACAGATATCAGGTTGCAAATATTTAGCCATTATCCGGCAAAAAGATATAAAAAAGGATATAAAACCTCTGGTCTAGATATCACATGTCTTAAAAATGCCTTGTAAAATTTCACACAACTAGGTCACAACTTTGCGAAACACCCGCCAGTTCCCTAATTCCTGTCGTGAAAAGAGAAGGGTTAACGATTCTGCAGAATAGTAGACCAAGTACAGTCACAAGAAAAACGGCCATCGATGAATTGACCCCCATCACACAACATGCAAAACAAAGGAAGGAACACTCAAATTAAATAGGAACGGTTTTTATCAAAAACCGTCATTGTAGTTAATTTTGTGCCGACTCAAAGTGAGCAACCCTTAGTCTCTTTCATTCAGCTGGTGATTGACATAAAAGATAACACCAATTGGTCAAGTAAAGGCTATGGGGGACAAAACATGCATAATTAAAGGTTGCAGATTTCGTTAAGAAAATTTTTTAGACACTCTCCATCAATGGTATTTGCAGTACAGTGAATAGGATGAAATGGAAAATAAATAAATAAGACACGCATCAGACTGCAGAGTATTATATAATGCTAAACTATAGCACGAGGAATATGTACATCATAGTAAAGCACGGCACTCTAAAGCATACCAAAGCATAGTGCAGTGCAGTGTGCATAGTATGAACTAGTATAACATATAAATGCATTATAGGGTGCAATATGGTATACATAGTTTAGGAGCGAATGCACGGCATCACAATATATCAAAGCAGAATATTATTACCCTCGACAGCATAAATTGTAATAAACAACGGTATTTTACCATATTATAGTGCAATATAACGCGACTTGGTGTGCTAAATATAACTAATCTTGAAGAAGACATTAAATTTAGAAACAGTCAACGATTTAGTACACCATAGTAAGTAAAAATTATCCTTTGGATTACAGTAAATTGCTCCATTATACGTAACCCGTTCTACAATGAGGCTACTCGTTAAATTGTATACTTAAATTAGCCTTTCGAATTTCGACTTGGCATGAAGCAACGAATGGGACGTACTGGGTAAGATGGAGGATATCTAGCAGAAAAGACAACTGAGAAGCCCCACTTTATAAGCCATTATTCCTAAGCTATCCAAAGTCAGCTGGAAAAATGTGAAGCTGGTGAATTTGTTGAGACTCCGTTTCACGCATTCCATCAGTCCCACTTTGTCCAGAGACAGCTTGTTCACCTCCGAAGAACTGCGGTTGCGCTGGACGAAAACAGAATACAGCATTTCATTGCCTGCCTCGTCGGCCGGACCACTACCAGACAGTGATTGGCGTCGCCATCACCCTGTCTCCCTCCTGCCTCAGTCCGTGGGCACGCGACTGATCTACACAACCGGCTTAGAGGATGCCTGCTAGCCTTGTCCCGTTCTGAGGAGAGCAACCCGGCCGAGGCCTGCCTCGGTGCACTTCGCTCCTACACGAACACCTTTACGTCCGGATCAACACAGCAGAGTGGCTTCCTTCCAACATTTGGCTGCCCATTAGCGCCGTTGCCTTTCATTTGCTTTTCATTACTGTCCGGCCATTTTATGCCTCTTTCATGACTCTGACCCGATTGCGGTTTCGGCTATTTCGCCTCAAATTCTGCCAGCTATGAATTTGTCAGTTGCTCATAGAGCCAAAGTGCATTGGCATAATCAGAACCCTCCATGATTTGGGCTCATTAGCCTGTGTGTGCATGAGTGTGTGTGTGTGTGTGTGAGTGGAAATGTAGTTTGTGCAGAAGCACCACAGCGGTATGGGTGCCCTTGTGTTCTTCAGTGGAAGTTAAGGGAATAAACAAAAAGGAACCTCCGTAGGAGGCCTTCTATCTCCGCATATCAGCTTTAGATGGCTCATGAGCCAAGAACTGATAAAAAAGCCTATAAGGCATTAATGAAGGCTGTGCCTAAATTTGATCAGGCTCGACAATCCTCCTTCCAATGATCTAATACGAAACACTTATCGGGTAATCGTCGTGACCAGAATCGTGTCTACTTCATGTGATAAATGGCTTGAGTAAAGAAAAAAATCCTAGGCACTTTCATGTGATGGAAGTTGATGAGTCCAAAGATCATCTACAGGCAAGATGATCTCACACCAGGTTGCATTCTACATTGTTTTGGCTGAATGGATAACAGCTGTGTTCACTCAAGGTCGGATAAGGTGATGCCGGTGAATTTCACTTAAATATGTCTCCTAAAAGGTATTCTTATCCAGGCTGGGCTGTAGGAAGAGGCCTGGTTAGCATCAAAATTCGCGTCTGCCATATTAATTACTGACGATCGAAACAGTGTGTCCTAGTGGTAACCTGTGGAAAACTACGTTCAGCTACCCGGGTTCGATTCCCGTTAAGGGTACTGATGAGACCCCGGCAATGTCAAAGTTGTAGTGCCACATGGATAAGAATAACTTATGGGAGGCAAGGATTAGTGCAATTAAATGGTATTGTGGGAAAACTCAATTAGCAGCCCTTCGTCACCTTAGCGACATAGGGTGAATGCAGCTATTATTCGATAGCTGCTGGAAGTTTCGAAACCAAATCAAGCTAGATATTGGTTAAATGGGGACTTCAGAGTTTAGATTTACTTGTAATAGAATTCTTAAAACAGCAGTTTCTTCTCATTTAAGTCCAAGTGAGTCACTAGGGTTTAGCCAGTTTGGCTGTACGAACATGTGACCAGTTGACATGTGAAAGCCGGTTTCATCAATTGAAGGTGATAGTGATGAAGCTTATACGATGAGGAGGCTCTACGAGGCAAAAGATAAGTACATTTTATAAAATCAAAATTAAACCATCGACACATTTTAACGTGGACAAGTAAACTATTCGACCTCGGAGTACTTCAGAGACCCATTACGCCCGAACGGCCTGGTTACAAATTGTAAGTTCAACAAGAATTTGGTCGCTATAGGTAGTTTACGATGATTTAATGACTGATTGTGAACATTTTTCCACAATGACAAGAGTATGCCTCATGATGCCTTCGAATTTCACTTGGCCTTACCCCTTAAAAGTTGTCAGTATCTCAATTAGACTAAAGTTTCGTCATCACACTCAAAAGCATGAGTAAGCTTAGAAACTATCAATAATTCATGAATAAGAATTTATTTACCCTAGGTTATGATGATACAAGAACTGATAATGGAATTTTTCAACAATGATGCGATTTTTGAAGCGATCTAATTACGATACTTGATTATTGAAGCTTGATAAACCATGCTACTCATATATATATATATATATATATGAGTAGCATGG